GAAGAGTAGAGCTGGGTCGCCTTCATCACCTCTGAGTTACAGCATCGAAGGTGGACGATGACGATGAAGTAATTAATTCAGTTTGTATACACTGGATTATTCCCAGCTTTATTACAATAATATTTTTCAATATTACATTACAGTCATTTAGCAGTCGCTTTTATCCAAAGCGACTTACAATTCAGATTCTATCACACTGTAGGCACAGCTACAGGAGAAATTTTGGGGTTAAGTGTCTTGCTCAAGGACACATCAACATGCGACAAGCAGGAGCCGGGGTTCGAACCGCCGACCCTCTGATTGAAGGACGGCCTTGCTCTCCACAGTCGCCCGATAATCAATATCTAGTGTATATATCCAAGAGGAAACTCTCTGCCATAAAAGCACACCCTGGATGTGTAAGGTTGGGCTCTGTCTTCAGCTGGAGAGGAACTGCTACAGGGACTACCCCTGCTGCTAAAAATTGCCTAGACATGGACAAATATAACAGCCTGTAGCATGGACACTGAAAGCTCTACATATTCTCAAAACTGTTTGACAATATGTAAAATAGGTTGAATTTCATTTATTTCATTAATTGTTTATAAAGAGAAACTGATGAAAATTCAAATCCGTTTATTTACTTTTTTGTTATTACACACTTGTTTTAAGCATTTATAACATATAATAATGACAACATACTTGCCTGGTTTTGAAAGTTACATTTCTCCTGAAAAAAGGAGCAAAATAATTTTCAAAAAGGACATTGTCTAACACATTTATTGAAGAAAAAAGACAAAAAAGACCAGGCGGACCTTCATAACACTGTGTGCATAGGGTTTTAAGAGTTAAAGTTGTTTCGGAGACTCTCCACATGTCCAACTATAAACATTGTTGTTTCCCTTACAGTGAGATCAGGACAAAAGACCCTCAAAACAAATATCAGAGCAGTCTGGTGGAATCACAAACAGTCTTGAGTGGTCGCAATCACCTCTAGCTGTGTATATCATATGGTGGTAAAATGTCCTCACCAGGCCGCCCTAATCCCATCTGTCATCAGTCTTGTCAAATGTCTATCTGGATCTAAGTTCCTGCCTGGCTCTGGTCCTCCATTGTCCCCTCCATCAGCAGCAACCAGATGGTTTCTCTCCCGTATGAGTTCTCATGTGTACCTTTAGGTTTCCACTTTTGATAAAAGTTTTCCCACAGTGAGCAGATGAATGGTTTCTCTCCTGTGTGGATTCTCGTGTGTGTCTGTAAATTTCCTCTCTGTGCAAAAGACTTCTTGCAAACGGAGCAGCTGTAGGGTTTCTCTCCGGTGTGTGTTATGTGTCTCTTCAGTTATGCTTTTTGCAAAAAGCTTTGACCACAAACTGAGCACTTGAAAGGTCTCTCGTGTGTGGATTCTCATGTGTGTGTAAATTCCCTCTCTGTGCAAAAGACTTCTTACAGACTGAGCAACTGAATGGTTTCTCCCCTGTGTGACGTGCCATGTGGAAAGTCAGCTCTCGCTTTTGTATAAATCCTTTACCACAAACTAAGCAACTAAACGGTTTCACCCCAGTGTGACGGGCCATGTGGTCTGCCAGATGTACTTTTTGTATAAATCAAAGTGAGCAGCTGAATGGTCTCTCTCCTATGTGAATTATCATGCGTCTCTTTAGACATCTTCCTTTGCCAAATCTCTTCCCACACTCAGAGCAGCGAAATGGTTTTTCTCCAGCACTACATCTGGAACCACCGACAGAAAATTCATTATTCAGAGAGTTTAAACCTGACTGAGGTTCTCTGGTCTCCTTCCAGTCATCAGTTTCTTGTTTGTTACATTGTGAGGCTTTGTCACTGCTGGATAATTGGAAATGTCTATCTGGATCTGAGTTCCTGTCTGGTTCTGGTCCTCCACAGTCCTCTCCATCACCTTCTGTTTCCATCTGTTCAGTTTGTCTTTGATGAAGCTGTGAGGACTGAGCTTCCTCTTCATCATCTTCACTCTTCACAGGAGTGAATGTGAACTTGATATCAGCCTCCTCCAGACCTTGAAGCTGCTCTCCCTCCTGACTGGTCCAGAGTTCCTCCTGTTCCTCTTTAATGTGTGGGGGCTCTGGGTCCTCCTGGTCCAGACTGGAGCTCCACTCCTGCTGCTCAGGGGGAACCTCTTCTTTAACCACCAACAGCTGCTGGACGTCTGCAGGACAGAATGAAGTACAGACATGTTACCGATCACCTGTCAGACTAAACTTAAACAGAAAATAATAAAAGAGTGAAAACAATCAGATGTAGTTCAAAAATAGAGAAGAAATTCAGCAAAAGAACCATTAATGATGGAATGTTTTCTCAATGAGTTCATCTGATTAACAACCGAAATGTAAACAACAGGCTGAGAGGGAGGAAAAGAAATCATTCAGCTGTTACTTTCACTTACTTACCAATTAGTCGTTCTCTCTTCCAAAGAAATCCAGCAACGTAACTATTCATGAAATGAAATCACACACTTTCGGATCCTCCTTAGCCCGGGGATATGCAGACACATTACCGGTTTATAAGAGAGGCATTGAACAATGCAGCGGGACGAGGGACAGAAGTACCAGAAGCTCCGTGGGGAGAGAGAGACATCATGTAGAGACGCCACAGTTTCAGATCTAACTCCACGAGTTAAGGGCTGAGAGTTAGTAATATGATGGATCTCAACCACATATCGGAGCACAAGGGTCCGGGGCAATTACAGAAGCAATGAAAATGAGGCACATAGCATCTGACGACATTTATGACAATACGAGATTGTGAACCGCTTACAGAAGTGGACAAGAAGCCTACAAGAAAGCTTCATTTAACAGACGTTAAATCAGGAGTCTGATTAAATATCAGGAGTGATTGTGACGCGCCAAACCCGCTCTGCAGAACATGTGGCGACAGGAAGATCAGCTGCTGGAGGTTGTAAATGACGGTGGGCTTAAAAGTATGTTTGAGACAACAACTCTGCTGGTGTTTAGGATTAAAATCAAGGCTGAATATCCTGAGATCACCACTAAAGCACTGAAACCCTGCTTCCATTTCACACATCCTCTCTGTGAAGCGAGATGTTCTGCAGTGACGGAAACCAAAACTAAACGGAGTAGACTGGACATCAGGAACAGACTTAGGGTGTCTTTGTCTCCCTTTACCCCCAGATGGGACCGTCTCGTTGCAGAGAAACAAGCTCAGGGCTCCACTGATTCAGCGTTATTGTGAGTTGTATTATTTATGCATTTTATATTTGTTTTCATGCCGATCGTATCATTTTATTTCGTCGTGTTTTTCCCCCACACCTTGAAGGCCGGTCCGTGAAAATATTGTCATTAAATCAACCAAAGAAGAAGTAAAGAGAACCAACCTGCTCTGTGTGACCGAAGCTGAGGCATGAAAACAGCGTCCAGTAGTCTCCGTTGTCGCTCGTTCTCCTCTTTTGAACGAGAGAGTTCCTCCTCGTACTCTGCTATCGTTCTTTCAAACACACCAAATATCTCTTCAGCAGCCGCAGTTAGTCGCTGGTTGACTAAACATCTCAGCATTTGGACTTTAGACATTTCCACACAACCACACAAACTGCGTCACAAACACCGTTTACTCTCATTAAACTCTGACTAGCGCTGTGTGGATCACTTCCGTCCCCGTCGGTCTGTTTCCAGCTAGCATGCTAAGCTAACTTCAATAGCTTTGTAGGCTACCGGGAGATGAGTCAGAGGAAACACGTTGAGAGAAAAGTCCATTCAGAAGGTTTATCCGGACACACAGAGACCAAGATGGAGCTCACACACACTCAGTGAACACAACACAGAGACTCTGCTAACAGACGTGTTTCTGATAGACGCCATCTTGGTCACAAACTGTGAAGTTAGCCTCAGTTTCCGGGGCACATCCGCTGCTGACTTTCAAAATAAAAGTGTTACTGAAATGACAGACTTCCTCATAAAAACACAGACAGGAAGTTAAATGATTGAATATATTTACATTCATTGAGCATTAATGTCAACACAAGATCCAAATAAGTTGCTGCTTCTGGAGCTTTCAACCACAAACTGGGCCTCTTCACGGAATCTTTTGCTTGGATGTCATTAAATTACCTGTTAAGATGTAATTCATGTTGTAGTCAACTCTGGTGTGATTTATTTTCTAGGAGTACAGAAAAAAAGATGCATTGTTCTTAAGTTACAGCAATATTATATTAACTTCTTCAAATATAAGTTACGCTTGAATACACTTCTTTTAGAGAACTATAACCTCTTAAACATGTCGGCCTGTGTTAAAAAAAAGAGTGATACAGAGTGTAGAGTTTTTGACAAAACATGGACTTTAAAGTATTTCTCTGCTGAGGTCAAAGGTAAAGCTGCGTGCTTAGTTTGTGGAGAACAGATCGGATTACAATTTGAATCGTCATCACGAGACAAAACACTCGGAGGAATACTAAAACGTGACGGATGCAGAGCGGCACGGACATCTGAGGCTTTATAAGCTGCTAAAGCAACATGCTCAGAAGATGTTGCTTCTCTTTGGATCGACCTCCACATGTGAACAAATGAAGTTTAACTAATCCAGATCAGATCCTCTCTCACTGACCATCAGCTTCACATCTCACCTCACACGTTCAGCCGGACTTCAGTTCATCGCTCACTGAACTGAAGAACAGGAAATGAGGTCATTGGACTACAAACAATAGTAATAACAGAACTAATTATCAGAAACATGATCCCTGTTAGTGTTGTACTATTACATATGTATCTTTGTTTGGATCATCCTTCCTGCTGCAGCTCATTTGAACTCCTTTATACTCTGTTTGTGTAGTTAGGAAGTGTTTGAAACATCATGTTTACAGTTTACCTCTGAGATGTAGTGGAAGTACAAAGTTGAATAAAATGGAAAATTGAATTTGTATTTAAGTACTTTTATTATTCCACCACTGATCATACATTCATACATTCACTCTCACAGCTCATCAGAACCAACAATGTGCTTCAGTCTAATGGTCCCCCCCCCGATCCAACTGATCCAGTGTGACGATGGTTAGAAACAAGAGATCCACAGGAAGTTCACCAGGAGGTCAAAGGTTAAGTTTATTGTCATCTGTGGATTGAATGAGCTCCACCGCGTCAACACAAATGTTACAGCGATGAATGAACGACAACATTTAGGAATTCTTTCATCACTTTTCAAAAATTTAAATTTCTATACAAATAGTAAACGTGATCGTTTGGGTTTAAACAGGAACTCAACCAGCAGCATCGGAAACTGACTGAAAAGTTTCGTTTGGGTTTTTTTATGCAAAAATGCGAAATATTGCTGCTTTATAAGATAATTTACAGCAAACGGAATGTTTTAGGTTTTTTTGGGACGACGAGACATTATGAATATTCAGATTCGTCTTTTATGTATAAAAAAATAAAATTAAAAAAAACTGGACAAACGGCCGAGTCACATCGCTTCTCTCCAGATTTCCCGCGTCGACTCTCCGGCACACTGGTGGTACTTCAGCTCCGTGTACCAAGCGAAGCCTTCGCCGCAGACGCTGCAGCTGTACTGTTTCTCCACCGTGTGGACGGCCATGTGCGACTGCATGCTGGCCTTGTGAGCGTATTTCTTACCGCAAACCAGGCACGGGAATGGTTTCTCTCTGGTGTGCGTTCTCATGTGGATCTCCAGATGGGACTTGTAGAGACATTTCAGACCACAGACGGAGCAGAAGAAGGCCTTCTCCCCCGTGTGGTACTTCATGTGGTTCTTCAGATTGTAATCGTGGTGGAATCTCTTTCCGCACTCGGTGCAGCTGTACGGTTTTGTGACGGTGAACCTCGTTTCGCTTTCGGGAACTTCGTTACTGTTTAGACCGGACCTCCTGTCGTCTTTCCAAAAATTGCTGTCGGGTTCAAGACACTCTTCTTTGTTGACGGAATGACATCCCATAATACTGTCAGAGATTTCATTATTCTTCAGAGAGTTTAATCCCGACTGAGGTTCTCTGGTCTCCTTCCAAAAATCACTATCGACACTATCATCAGTATCTGGTTCTGGATGTCTATCTGGATCTGAGTTCCTGTCTGGTTCTGGTCCTCTACAGTCCTCTCCATCAGCTTCTGTTTCCATCTGTTCAGTTTGTCTTTGATGAAGTGAGGACTGAGCTTCCTCTTCATCGTCTTCACTCTTCACAGGAGTGAATATGAACTTGATATCAGCCTCCTCCAGACCTTGAAGCTGTTCTCCCTCCTGACTGGTCCAGGGTTCCTCCTGTTCCTCTTTAATGTGTGGGGGCTCTGGGTCCGTGTGCCGGCTCAGTCTTCCTCCTTCTGTGGACTGTTCCCCTCCTGTAGGACTTCTTCTTCTGTGGTGGTTGGTAAATGTTTCATCGCTCTGAGAGACATCATCATGTTTCACAGAGTTTAAACCAGACAGACGTCCACAGCTCTCGTCCCAAAAATCACTGTCGGCACTGTCTTCAGTCTCAGGTTCAGAAGAGTCTCCAGTATCTGGTTCTGGATGTCTATGTGGATCTGAGTTCCTGTCTGGTTCTGGTCCTCCACAGTCCTCTCCATCACCTTCTGGAGGCTCCGCCTCTCTGTTCTCCTCAGTCCGACTCTGATGAAGCTGTGAGGACCGATGACCAACACACTGATGATATTTCAGCTGATAATGCCAACCGAATCTTTGCTCACAATATCTGCAGCTGTAGACTTTCTCCCTCGAGTGGACTTCCAGATGTTTCTCCAGATGTCGCCTCCAAGCAAATTCTTTCCCACAAACGGTGCAACTGAACTGCGTTTGCCTCGCGTGGATCCTCATGTGCTGAACCAAAGACTCGCTGTCACTGCATCCTGTGTTGCACACTGAGCAGCGGAACGGTTTTTCCCCCGAGTGACATGTCATGTGAGAACTTAAGCTCTCACGCTCGGCAAACGTTCTACCGCAAACTGAGCAGCCGAACGGTTTCAGTCCTGTGTGGAGTCTCACGGGAACCTGCAGCTGGTGCTTCAGGTTCAACCCTCCACCGCTCTGAGAGCCGCCGACAGACGTGTCGTCGTCGTCTTGGAGCCGCGAGGACTCGCCGACACACTCGTGACCGACGAGTTGGGACTCCAGAGCGAATCTCTCCTGACAAATGATGCAGCCAAGCGGTTTCTCTCCCGTGTGGACGGACGTGTGTCTTGACAGGTGTCCCGCCGTTGCAAATCCTTTTCCGCAAAATAAGCAGCTGAGCGGTTTCTCTCCTGTGGGGGGGTTGTTGTGTGTCAGCAGAGTGAGACTGTCTTCAGATCTTTCGTGACACTCAGACGAGCTGAAAGGTTTCATGTCAGTGTTACATCCTGGATCTCTGACAGAGACCTCCTCACTGTTCAGATGCTTCGGACCTGATTGAGGTCGATCACCTTCAACTCCGTTATCAGTCTTGAGTTCAGTTTCAGCCTCGTCTTCAGAGCAGCTGAAAGGTTTCTTGCTGCTATTAAATCCATCATTTGCAGAGACCTTTTTATTTCTCTGGTATGTGAACCCTGACTGATGTTTCCTGGTCTCTTTCCAAAACTCAACGTCAACACTGTCATCAGGTTCAGAGGACGGTTCATTCTTGACATCAGTTCCTGGTTCTAAATGTCCAACTGGATCTGAACTGGCTGGTTCTGATCCTTCAAAGTCCTCTTCATTAAAGCCACTTCCTCTGAACTGTGAGAACTCACCGAGACACTTGTGTTTTTTGATCTGAAAATGCCAGAAGAATCTCCTCCCACAGACGGTGCAGCTGAATGGCTTCACCCCCGAGTGGACCGCCATGTGCTGCGACATGATTCCCCTCTGAGAAAACCGTTTACCGCAAACGGAGCAGCTGAACGGTTTCTCTCCGGTGTGGGTTCTCATGTGTATCTCCAGGTGGGAACTAAACTGACGTTTCTGACCACACACGGAGCAGGTGAACAGTGTCTTTCCTTTGTGCATCCTCATGTGGGTCACCAGAAGGTAGTTGTTGGGAAACGTCATGTCACATTCTGAGCAGCTCAGCGGTTTGTTGCGTTCGTCCCCTCGGGCCCCGAGGAGCCGCGAGTACTCTCCGACACACTTGTGGACTTTGAGCTGCGACGTGGCCCTGAATCTTTTGTTACAAACACTGCAGCTGAACGGTTTTGCTCCTGTGTGCGTCGCCATGTGAGACGTGACCGCTCCTTTGTGGCGAAAGCTTTTACCGCAGAGTGAGCAACTGAACGGTTTCTCCCCCGTGTGGATTCTCAGGTGGTAGTCCAGACCAGCTTTCTGAGTGAACTTTTTACCGCACACGGAGCAGCCGAAGGGTTTCACTCCTGTGTGAGTTCTCATGTGTATATTCAGATTTCCTCTCTGTTTAAATGTTTTGGCGCACACGGAGCAGCGAAACGGTTTTCTTTCAGGATCCGTATAGTCTTCTTCAGGCTCAGATTCAGATGAGTCTGAAGTCTCACTTTCCTGTTCTGGGTGTCTATCTGGATCTGAGTTCCTGCCTGGTTCTGGTCCTCCACAGTCCTCTCCATCACCTTCTGTTTCCATCTGTTCAGTTTGTCTTTGATGAAGCTGTGAGGACTGAGCTTCCTCTTCATCGTCTTCAGTCTTCACAGGAGTGAATGAGAACTTGATACCAGCCTCCTCCAGACCTTGAAGCTGCTCTCCCTCCTGACTGGTCCAGAGTTCCTCCTGGTCCTCTTTAATGTGTGGGGGCTCTGGGTCCTCCTGTTCCTCTTTAATGTGTGGGGCCTCTGGGTCCTCCTGGTCCAGACTGGAGCTCCACTCCTGCTGCTCAGGGGGAACCTCTTCTTTAACCACCAACAGCTGCTGGACGTCTGCAGGAAACAGAACATACATTCCTTCAGGTTAAAACTCTACTACAGACTGAAATAATACATTTATAAACAATCATCAGCCTTCAAACCTGAAACTGGACATCCTTGTCTCCAGCTGTGGCTCGGGGGGCTCTTTGAGACTATCTTAGTTCTGGAGTGAAACGTCCTCTCTCTGTCTCTTTCTTTCTGCCTCTTTGTCTCTCTCTCTGTCTCTGCCTCTCATTGTAGAACTCTGGTCGTCTCAAACACAATAAAACCCTCACCCTGGACATGAACTGTTTGTGCCCCTCCCATCTGGCAGGAGGCTGAGGTCCATCAGGACCAAGACCTCACGCCACAAAAACAGCTTCTTTCCATCCGCAGTCGGGCGGACTGCTCCCCGGGCGCCTGCGTGGGCAGCCCACTGCTCCCTATATATACAGGGATGGGTCAAATGCAGAGAATGATTTCCCCACTGTGGGACTAATAAAGGAATGTTTCTTATTATTTTTACACTACTGTTATCCGTTCGTTTGTGCACTTTATTTTATTTTTCATTTATTTTATATCTCTCTGTAAATTGTAATATGTTTCTACTTGCACTGATTGTTGTTGATTGTTAAATGTTTGCACCTCCCATCACGCCAAATTCCTTGTATGTTCAACATACCATGGCAATAAACGGTTCTGATTCTGACAAGTAAGTTTATCACAACATGTGACCAACAAGCAGAACAGAACATCTGTTTGTGGAGCAGCCGTCGGGTAACGGTAGTGATGTCATCACTGCAGGTAACGTTAGTGATGACATCACTGCAGGTAACGGTAGTGATGACATCACTGCAGGTAACGGTAGTGATGACATCACTGCAGGTAACGGTAGTGATGACATCACTGCAGGTAACGGTAGTGATGTCATACAGAGTTTGATCACAAGAACAGGATCATAAATAAGATCATTGTTGAGCTGAGAATGTTGTAGTTTTAACATTTTAGAACTCAAGAAAGAATGTTTGTTTACATACAAGAAGAGGACAGGAGGACAGACGAAAGGAAGACAGAGGAAAGGAGGACAGAGGAGAGGAAAGGAGGACAGAGGAAAGGAGGACAGAAGGCAGAGGACAGAGGACAGGACACTGACACTATCCGACGTCTGTGTTCTTCATTCTTTCTAAACTTCCCTCATAAATGTGATTTATTTTATTAACATGTTACGTTTTGTTTCCAGTGAATATTAATAACTTCATAAAGACACTTTAAAACTGTTGCTGCTACATTGAAAATATAAATACATTCTGATCCTGTTCTGAATGTATTTACAGTGCCCTCCAGAATCATTGGCACCCTTAGAGAATTTGAGCAAAACAGGCTGTGAAAAAAATTCTTTGCCGTTTATCCTCTTGGTCTTTCACTCAAAATATTCCCAAAAATCTTACCTTTTCATTGAAGTAAAATTATTGAAAGAAAAAAAAATGTTGACATTAAACAAATATTTTTCTCCAAAACATGTTTGCCACAATTATTGGCACCCCTAGAACATCTCATGATTAAAATCTAACTGAAGTATAATTCCAGTCATATTTTACATTTTTAATTTCACCTGTTTGATTAGGAACTCTTAAGTTGTCAACCATGACTTCCTGTTTCACTGGGGTATAAATATGAGGTGACACAGGCCAAATTCCCTTAGTCATTCATCACTATGGGAAAGACCCGAGAACACAGTGACGATGTGCGACGAAAAGTTGTTGAGCTGCACAAATCAGGAAAAGGATATAAGAAAATCTCTAAACAGTTGAAAATACCCATTTCCACTATCAGGGCAATAATTAAGAAGTTTAAAGCGACGGGAGATGTTAAGAATCAGCCTGGAAGAGGACGTGTGTGTACATTGACCCCACGCACCGTGAGGAGGATGGTTCGACTGGCAAAAGAATCTCCAAGGATCACAGCTGGAGAACTGCAGAGGTTAGTTGAGTCTTGGGGTCAGAAAGTCTCCAAAACTACCATCAGACACCACCTACATCACCACAAGGTGCCAGAAAAAAGCCTCTGCTGTCAATCAACAACAAACTAAAGCGCCTACGTTACTGGGACTTTCAATGGGACCGGGTTATATGGTCAGATGAGACCAAAATAGAGGTTTTTGGCAACAAACATCAACGGTGGGTTTGGCGTAGACAGAAAGATAGCCATACAGAGAAGCACCTCATACCCACTGTGAAGTATGGTGGCGGATCTTTGATGTTGTGGGGCTGTTTCTCTTCCAAAGGCCCTGGACATCTTGTTAGGATACATGGTATCATGGACTGCATCAAATACCAGCAGATATTAAATGAAAACCTAACAGCCTCTGCCAGGAAGCTTAAAATGGGCCGTGGTTGGACCCTCCAGCAGGACAATGATCCGAAGCACACCTCAAAATCTACACAAAGATGGTTCACCGACCACAGAATAAAGGTTTTGCCATGGCCATCACAGTCCCCCGACCTAAACCCCATAGAAGATCTGTGGGATGAGCTGAAGAGGAGAGTCCACAAGCTCGACCTCGGGATCTGAAGGATCTGGAGAGATTCTGCATGGAGGAATGGTCTCAGATCCAGTGCTATGTGTTCACCAACCTCATCACGCATTATAGGAGAAGACTCACAGCTGTTATCTTGGCAAAGGGAGGCTGCACAAAATATTAAATGAAGGGTGCCAATAATTGTGGCACATATATTTTTGAGAAAACGATTTGTTTCAGGATAAGAATTTAATGTTTCTTTCAATTATGTTACTTCAGTTAAAGGTTAGATTTTTGTGAATATTTTGAATGAAAGATCATGAGGATAAACAACAAAGACATTTTTTCACAGCCTGTTTTGATCATTTTTACTAAAGGGTGCCAATAATTCTGGAGGGCACTGTATATCTTTAAATAATACAATAAGATAAGAGTAGTAGTATTGATCGGTTTACACATTGGTCTCAATATACATACATAGAATGTATGTAAACAAATAAACAAGAAAAAAATATAAAAACAAGGACATTAAAGACAAAGTAGAATAGAGAAACTAAGCATTAACATTTAACATTGTTTATGTGCTAAGCTATGCTAAATGCTAGCAGAGTTGTGGTGAGGAAGGCTGAG